CATGGGCTAAACCTGTACATTAAAAATTTAGATCAAACAAGTATTCTAACAATTTCCAGTCTTTTCCCACCCAAAACTCGAAAGTGGTTATTTTGATAGCGGAACATGTTTACTAGTTATCATGTCTTGGCAATGAAAATTTCCAGTGGGCAAATTAATTCAAATCCCCATTTAAAAAAAAACAGGAGATCGTAACAGTGGTGTCGGTCAAGTGTTTATGACTAGAATTCAAAATGCTTTACAACTGTATATATATAATCTATATATATATAATTTGTAAATGCATATATATTATCCAATCATTCAACATTAATTACAAGTTCATATATTTATTTATTTATTTATATGTACTGCTATTTTCTTGCTCAATGCCCAGTTGCCCCATCCAAAGATGGGGAAGAGGAAGTTGGTGTGGTATAGTGAGTTGGAGTTCAGGAATAGAAAGAGAAATAGTAGAGAGAGAATGAGGAAGAAAAATGACATGCTATTGTAAATTTAAAGATGTGTAAGGGTATTTTGGTCTTAAAACAAAACTTACTCTCTTCATAGGCGTGTGGACCTTGCAACCAGTTAGTTGGACGGAAAAGTAGGTGGTACACTTTGGTCCACAAATCACGTGGGGGTTATGTGGTTATTTCTAAATGTTAAAGGGTAAACCGCACATGACCCAAACTATACGGAGAAAAGTGAAGTTTGCCATTTTTGGTATGTGTTTGGATGGTGATCATGTAATGAGTGATTGTTTTTATTGATTTTTTTTTATGATTGTCATGTAATAGATGGTTTTCTTTTTTGCTATTAATAGATATTTTTGAATGGTTATCATGTAATGGATAGTTATTAGATTTTTAATATGTAATCGATATGTTTAATATAAAAATGTTTTTACTTTTGGATTTTTTCATTTAATGAATTTGTTTAATAATGATATCAAAGTTGTCACTATGTTTAACTTTTGAAAAAATAGAAACTAATTTAACGAAATAAATTTCAAAAAAAAAATATTTTTAAGAAATTATTTATACCCTCCCAAAAGATAAAATTATACAAAAATGAGTTGTATTATGATTTTACTCTTGAAATAAATCGTTTGCAAAGAAAATATATTTGATTGTCCTTATTTGAAACAAAATTCAAAATTTAAGGTCAAATGCATCACAATTGAAAAGTTATGGATTAAAGTGACACAAATCTCATAACAGTTAGTGTAATTCGTCCTAAATTAATTAATTAATTGGGGTAGGGAATCATGTACATTTGGGGGTGGAGCCAAAAATCTTGGGAAAATTTAGTCAAAACCTCTCTATTGAACCCTTATTTAGTGAAAAGAACAACCCAATTTATTTTACTTTATAAACCCCGTAGAGAGAAAACTCATAATTGAGTAAGGACAAAATAAAATATCTTCTTTTTTTTTTCCTTGAACAATATTGCCAGAGTAACATGTTACTGTCAAACAGAGTAATATGTTACTGTTACTGTTTACATCAATTTCAACGGTAATTTTTATTTTTTTTAAAAAAATTTCATAGTCAACATGAATCTTATTTGATAAATCTTGATTAGAGAATTCTAAAAATACTACATCAAAAGTTATATTATTTTAAAGTTTAATATTTTGATAATAATGGCATGCGTTGGATTTTTCAAGAAAAAACTTTTTATACTTATCCTTAAAAGTAGTGCTAGTAACTCCAAAAATTCTACTAAAATTTCTACCAAATATCTCACATGAGTGTGGGACCCACATCATGTGGATCCCATGTTGGTCTCACACCCATATGAGACATTTGGTAGAAATTTTAATAAAACTTTTGGGATCTCTAATATCTTTGTATCCTTAATGCATTAAAATTTTATTATGAGGGGGTTTTGACCAAATCTCCTAAATCTTGCACATAAAAAATGAGCAAATTACAAATACATCTCTTTAAATTTACTTAAATACAGATTATTTCTTGTAGTTTTGAAAATTACATCTCACTCTTTCAAGTTCTTAAGTGATCGACAACAATCTCTGGCCACCCATCTCCCACTATCAACCACCACCTTTGGCCAAGCAACCTTCATACTTATTTTCAAAATAAAATTTAAAAAAAAATGTGTATATTAAACATATTTTTTATATATAAAATAATAATAAACTACAAATGTTATCAAAGCGGGATGTTAAGTTTTTATATTTTGGTAGTTTTTAGTTTTGACTTGATTAAAAATGCAAAAACTTAAGCCAAGGGTGTTTGGCAATTTGGTAAAGGTCTGGGGGTTAAGACCTTAAGTCTCAAGTTCGAAATCCCTTAGACCAGTCTCCTGGGCATAGTGCAGTTGATTATGAGGTTAGCCTCAAGTTGTTACTACCACATCACTTGGTGTTAACCCAATGCTTCTCCGTTGCACGAATCCTGACTAAAGTGGAGCTTGCCTTAAAAGGTCGGAGTAAGTTCTTAGGTTATAGTCTCCTTCTCAAAACAGACAACAAGACACCTTGATGATCTCTGTAAAGGGTGCTACTCTGGACCTGAGAGAGAGCTAGAGGAATTTCCTATAAATAAATAAATAAAAATAAAAAACCTACCCACTAAATATTTTAGGCTTTTGTTGTCCCAGGCATGGATTAACTAAACATTACCTCAACTATCCATTGTTATGCTTTTTAATGAAAAAACAAAATTTGAAAAAAAAAATAAAGACAAAAAAAAAAACATTATTTTTCATTTAAATTAACATTTTGTTTCCAATAGATTTTTAACAAATTTCAATCCCCCTTTTGAAGTAACAATATGGAGGGAAGCTTTGTTAGACCTCTCTTTTCCCCTTCTGCTTAGCCAAAACACCCAATTAAGATAAAGTGTTATTCTATCCTTTTTAATTGTAAACAAAATGGAGGCGTTTTGAGCATAATCTCTTTGCAATTCTCAAAAATTCTTTTCCAGGGTGGGATTTTACACTTGAGCCTTTTGAAGTAACAATTTTAACTTTGCAACGATTCAATTCATTTGCTTTAGTCCAAAACGGATGGGGATTTAATTGGGCCATAGGAACTACTATGTTCCCTATCAGGGAAGCAATTGCTCGAAGATTGTTTGAAGTAATATGACAACCATAAATATCACATTGATCTCCTATTCGCCTTTCAGCGAGAGAAAGGCCATTGTGGTTCTCCATCTCCACTCTCGACTAACCTAGCTACAAAAAATGGTCGAGAACATTGACAGATCTCTCCAGAGAACAGACAATCTCCCTCCTTTCCATTGTGCCCAGAAAAAGTTTGAACTATTGCAAACTTGTTTCATAGCTTTCAATTGAGCAACTCACAACCTTCTTTCTTTTGGAAAAGGTGATGAGAAGGATCTTTTGCAAGAGACCTTTCAACATCTGATAATCTCCTACAATTCTCTGCTATTGAATAATTGAAAACTTAGGTAATCAATTGAATAGTCTCATACGTAATTATATCATGTGCTCATTTCGTCGCTTATCCACTCAATTCTTCAACCCTAAAATAGAGGTACAATCAATGAAACGTCAAACACGTCTTATTTTCACCTCCCTCTATTGTAGGATAGGGTTTTCTCCAAATGTGTTGGGCCCATGGTTTCACATGCAGCCCATCTCGATTATTCGATTGGCATACCAAAGTCTACCAGCAAGGCGAAGTAAGAATTCAAAAATGTTAAAACCCCCCCAATGTGATCATCTACTTTTGTTTCAGGTCTCACCTCTTGATTTTGAGTTTCGTGTTGTTGTTACAAAAAAAAAAAAAAAAAAAAAAAAAAATCTGCTCACTCTGGTGTTGTTTTTGTAATCCCAAACCAAATCCCAAACCAGAACAGGTGGAGTTATTCACAGGCGTCGTCATTTCCAAGATCACCTTCTCCTTGTAATCCTTAACGGCTTTGTGTTCTAGCAACCGTCCCCGGTTCATAACCTCAATAGCCACTCCTCTTTCCTCTTGCATGTTATGAATTTTAAACTCCCCATTACCTAAAACATAGCAAATCCATCAAATCCAGTCACAACCATACAAACTTGCTCTTACCTATTTTGGCACTCACAACACCATACAAGTAGACAAGGCATAAGAAGGGCCATCTGTGGGAACAGTGGCCCACACTTCCAAGTTCAAAGCTTGAAGAAATCAATATGCTGCCCAATTTAACTGTCAATTCTTCCTTCACATTGCCAACTCATTTATGTGCTAGATTCACATTCTAAACAAAGGATTGTGACAGCTAGGAAAACAGCTTTGAAAACTGACAAAGTAAAAAAATCAATTTATCATCATATTATTGATTTTGAGAAATTGTCATATTTGAGAATTAGTCATGTCATGTCATGTGGCAAGCCTCCGGTTTTGGTTTTACCTGATAGCTACAATTCACAAGCACCTACCCCCAAAATCAGTTTAATACACAGCTCATTTGCCAATATTTTATTTATTTATTTCTTTTGTGCAAAGAAAGAGAACTTCATTGTATCACAAAAAAAGTACAAGAGAGAATGATCAAAGATGCATACAACTTACAAGCCTGAAGCCAGATTCTGAGATACTAACCAACACCAACAATCAAAATCATAAGAAACCATCTACCCAAACGAAGGCTAATTATGCAAACTAACACGAACAAACACCAGCTACTTCTTCTGGAAAAGGACAACCATTAGAACAAACCCAGAGCTGAATAACACAACCTGGGCATACCTGTAATCCAAAGCACAAACCACTTGTACAAAACTAATAATTATTAACTCCATCTCCTTTCCCTCCAAATCTATTTAATTTCAGGGAGACTCAAAGTATGTTTTGAGTGAAAACTATTTCTCTTATCTATGAATTTCTCCCATTGGTGATTTGAGAGGATATACTTCCTTCTTTTTTCATTTTCTTTCCCACCAAATCATTCCATCCAAACAAACTATTAGCGTAATTTTTTCCTTCTTTCAATCTGAAACAAATACATACCTTATATGCATCAACTTTTCCCCATCAAAGAATTCAGTGAAACAAAAGTTTTCCATGGAAAATGATATATTTCAAAAAAAAAATTGTCACAATATCTCCCCCTCTTCCATAGGAGTAGGACATTTTGGAGTGTGTCCAGTGAAAACTCGATAACTTGCAATGGGTCACATTTGTTTAGAAATATTCAAATCTGAACAACATAATTGGCAACAATTGCATCATTAATCAGTTACATTCAATAAACTAAAACTCAAAACCCAAAACAAAATCTACAGATGATAATCTCACTAGACAGCATTCAATCAATCATGCAGAGTGCCCAAAATGTCATCATCCATATACAAGTGGTACCTGTACAAACATCCAACACACCAAAAAATTTGTTTAAAAAAACAAAAAAAATATTTGGGTTAATTACAAATCCTCTCTTAATTGTTACTACATATAACTTAACCTCTCAACTCCAAAAAATTGTATATTTTTATAGTTGAAGGAATTGAAGAGAGAAAAGGGGAAAATTTTTGATTACATGAGAGGAAAGAAAAGAAGAAAAATGATAGTGTTTCACCTCCTCTTGTTTGTATCAATAGGAGAGAAAAGAATAAAGAGAATGATTTATACCCTACCTTGTTTAGTTAAACTACATAAAAGAAAAGAAAATATATTGTTTTACTTTACATTATTATATTTTACTAAAATAAGCTTCTTTTTTCTTTCTTTTTTTCCTTTTTGTTTCTTTCTTTCTAAATTTAAAGATTAAATTTTGATATTATAAAAAGTAGTAATGTTTTGCCCTTCCAATCTCTCCACTTTTTGGAGAGATTCATTTTCTCAAGTTATTTCCATTTCACCTCCTTTCTATCTTCTTGACAAAGCCAAGAAAGAAAAAAAATGCATTTTATTTATTTTCTTCTTCCCAAATCACCCAATGCAAACAGGAAGTGAATGACAGTTAACTGAAGATCAAAAACATATATATATATATATATATATATATATATATATTATAGACACATATAGAGATGGAGATAGAGGGCAGAGAAGGGGAGAGATTAGCATACTCTTTGTCAGCTAGCTTAACTTGGGTACCGCCATAATCAGGCAAGAGAACAGTGTCGCCTTCGTTGACACCCACTGGTATCAAATTCCCCACTTTGTCCCGCATTCCTGGTCCCACCGCCACCACTTTCCCTGAGTTCAGCTGTATGTATGCATGTATTGTATCCACAAAACACCAAAATCACAAATTACAAACCACCTATATATGTGTCGATATAGAGAGAAAGAGAGAAAGTAGAGATACCTTGGAGGACTTCTCTGGGAGGAGAATACCGGCGGTGGTTTTGGAGGGAGGGACGATCTTCTCCACCAGAACTCTGTTAAATGTTGGGATCAAACGCTTCGCCATTTCGCTTCTCCCCTTTACTCTCTCTCTCTCTCTCTCTCTTTGTATCTCTGTGTTTTCGATTCGAGCACTGGAACTGGATGTTCTAGGGTTTTAAGAGGGTTTTTTCCAGTTCCGCTATAGCTCGAAAGTTTCAAGTTCTAGGGTTTTAGGAGGGTTTTTTCAATTCCGCTAAAATTGGCCCGAATCCAAAATCACATCGTTTTGCATTAGATTTTTTCATTAATGGTTGAGGGTCACAAAAACAGTGACTCAAATGGTTCAAAACTATCAAAACGATGTCGTTTTGGGCACAAAATCTGCCAAGACGATGTCGTTTTGACAGTTTTGAGTCATTTGAGCCACTATTTTTGTGGCTTTCAAACATTTTTCAAATTTTTTTCGTCCTTGCCAGGCGATTTTTTTTTTTTTTATCCTTTCGATAATTGGAAATGAAAAAAAAAAAATCATCATCAACGCAGCAGAGAGAGAGGAATTTTTTTTATTATTAATTTTTTTTTCATCCTTTCCATAACTGGAAATCAAATCAAAAATCATCATCATCAACCAAACTCATCATCATCATCACACATAAAGATCAACCAAAAAACAAACTAAGGGTAAGCAACAGTTTATTCGAACCGCCCAACCCGCGTATAAATAGGTGATTTCGCAAACATAATGTCACGACCCCAAACTGCCCCTAGTAGTTTGGTGCCGTGATGGCCAGTGATCCGTAATTACCGAAGGCCAACTATCAAAAGTTTAACACAATCAGAGTATAATAAACGGGGCTCACAAATGCGGAAGCAATAAATCAAAATACAAGTGGTCCATAAGAGCAGTGCGTAGATCCAATGAAGTAGCATATATCTTTACAACTTGAATACAACAAAGCAAAATACGTATTACATCTTGATCAAAAGGTTTCTCAAGCCGACATATACAAAATGACAGTGAATACAAGTCAAGAAGCATGATTTTCAAGATTCGCCGACATGAAAGAAATGACATCGCCGACGTGAATACAAAACAAAGTCGACATAATCATAGATCCAAAACAAGCTTTCAAAAACACATCTAGGCGTCGCCAACGTCCTGCTCATCACCTACATAAATATAGAGAGGGTGAGCTTGGATACTCAGTAAATGGTACTAGTAATAAAGGTTTTGCATGAATATAGCCGAGATCCTTCAAAACAAAACATGCCAAAACCATACGAATCTTAGCCGAGATCCTTTCAAAGCAAAAACACATCAAAACTTTATCAAAACAAGGGATGAACCGTATTCATCTATCAAGGTCTTACAAGTCTCAAGGGATGCTTACTAACATCGGCAAAACACAAATCAAGCTTTCGATGAACCGTATTCATCTATCAAGTCTTACAAGTCTCAAGGGATGCTTACTAACATCGGCAAAACACAAATCAAGCTTTTGATGAACCGTATTCATCTATTAAGTCTTACAAGTCTCAAGGGATGCTTACTAACATCGGCAAAACACAAATCAAGCTTTCCGAACAACAGATCCACGCGGTAAACCGTCAATGGCAAAACAAAGGTTGTACGATCCGTAATCGATTAGTCAAAGGTACTGTGAAAGTTTATAGTCCTCCAGCACAAGGGACTTGTGTTACTTAAGCCCGTAGCCCTTTTTAACATGATGGTCTTGTGTTACTTAGGCCCGTAGCCCGCTTTAACACAAGAGTCTTTCCAAGAAAGGACCGTATCCTTTTATGCTTAGTGCTGCGAAAGTTTAGAGTCCTCCAGTACAAGGGACTTTTATACTTGGTACTGCGAAAGTTTATAGTCCTCCAGTACAAGGGGCTTTTCAAGAATGACATCAAAACAAAGCTTATACTTGATACATCAAACAGGCTATTTATTCATGCTTAACAAATACTTTTATCAAAACAAAGCAAAGCAAGATTTAACGAAACAGTATAACATAGCTTTATTAAAAATACCACTCACATAGATCTCCTCGAGTGTAGGCTCAAAGCAAAGATCAAGGACCTACAATCACATGGCAATCACATTCTCAAAACAAGCTTTATATGCATGTAAATGATCCCGGCATTCTCACCAGATCCAAATCAATGACAAAGCGAAACATGCTGGGAGTTTAAACACTACTCCCGTCTCATGAAAACACACTGGGTACCAACCAGGTCTCTGCCGAGGTCCCATACCTCCTTGCCGAGGTGTGGTCCCGATGGCCTCATTCAAAAACAAAGTCGGGAAAAAAAAACCTGGGTTTCCCTTCGAAGAACATGAAGGACATGATGAACATGATCATGAGGAAGATGAATGCAAGATCATAACTCGTTACAAAAATCTGGGATTTCATGCTATGAGCCCAAAACATGGACCTGGGTACCCATACAAGAAGGTCATGCAAGAACAAACACAAAAACATGATTTTTGCTCCAAACTTTCGGATCAAAACGAGACTTTGCTTTAAGAACACATGAATACTATCTTTCTCTTCCGAAACCAACTTCAAATCGATGCATGACATGCAAAACAGATTCGATCATGCAATGCAGCTAGATGATCAATAAGAACGACAAGAGTAGGTTAAGATTCTAACCTCAAAACTCGAATCCAACGGTTCAAACCTCGAAGATCAAGCTTGGAAGATCTACTCTTACTCAAGAACTTCTCCTCCTTCTCTCTAGAGCTTCTCTCTCTAAAGGCAAAGACTTGAGACAAAATGATTTGTTTCCAGGTCTGCCGGCTGTCTTAACAATCAGCTCGGACACGTGGCGCTATCGAGTTGGTTCAACTCAAAAGGTGATTGATTGATAAGACAAGTCTATGACAAAGCGTACACAGCAAGCTAGGGCAAGACACATCGGCAAGTAATGACATCGGCTAAAGTCAAAGCTTCGGCAACAGGATAACAAAGACATCGGCTAGGGAGGACGACACTTGACTAAGCTGTGCCACACCTTGGCCGGGGTGTGCCACACCTCGGTCTAGGCCATACCTGCCTAAGGACGAGGATCACTAAGTGCAAAACATCTCGGCAACAAGCCCGAGGTGAAGGTGGGATCAACCAAATGGTTCCAAAACAGCTCTAGGTACAAAGGTTCAAAGGTGAACTAAGCTCAAGATTACTTCAGCTACACACCGAGCAAGGAACAAAGTCAAGCAAGCAATACTTAAACAAAACAAGGCAAGGCAAAACCTTCAAAACAACATAACAAGACAAGATCATGCATGAATGTATGCAAGTATGACAAGAGTAAGGTGAGGGTCACTACACATAATGCGGACGGATGCGGTTTGAAATATGACAAATTTGCAGGTTGCGGGCGAGTCGTGGGTTAAACCCGCAACCTGCAAAAATCGCCCGCACTATAATAATTATTATTATTTAAATACCAACTTTGTAACTTTAACAAGAGCACCATTATGTTCTCTATGACACTAGGAACCTTATTTTTAAATATTTCTCAACTTTCTTAATACCGTAGAATTATGAAGTCCTAAACTTGGTTTCTTATATGATTTTCATTGGTGACTCATCCACTTTTTTCTAATAAAATTTTCCTTCTAGTGGTCGATGGAACTTCTAGTTTGATTATTGATTACTGAACTGACAATTCTAATTGAGTACAACCTTTAATGCATTGATATACATTTTTTTCATGGCAAAAATGCTAGTATAAGGTCTCTTTGTTTTTGGTACTTTCATTTAATGCATTGATATTCAAATTTTATTTGTAAACTCATCAGAAAATTGTTATCAAATGATCACAAATATATAAAATGAATCTGATGCCTAAATTTGATGGGAAAAACAACTCAAAAATTAATTTTTAAAGAAAAAAGTGTAAACTGTTAACCGCCCGCACATCTGCAAACCCTATCCGCACAAACCACAAACCGCAAACTGCACTGCGGGCAGTTGCGGGTTGACTTTTTCCCAAACCGCATAGATGGGAGCAGGTCAAAACCAAACCGCAAACCGCACAAAACCGATCCGCGAACACCCCTAAAACAAACCCACCATAGAGATCAACCAAAAAAAAATGTAAAAACCCACCCAACACATCAAAATCAAAAATCAAAAAAACAAACCAAATCTAATCGTCACACCATCGCCATCTCTATCTCTTTCTTCCTTCCAGCTCTCTCTCTCTTTCTCTTTGTGTTCGCCCTCCCTCTATTTCATCTCTCTTCCTCTCTTTTTCTCACTCTCTCTTCCTTTTCAGATAAAAAAAAAATGCCCAAAACGATGTCGTTTTGAGCAGTTGAGCCATTCGGGGCAGAAATGGTTCAAGCTACAAAACATTTCTCGGGTTTTTTTGGGAGGGATTAGTTATGCCGAGGCTTTTGCCAAAATAGGCGAACCTACTAACTTATTTCTCAAACTAAGTCTAGTTTGGCCGAAACACGCTTTCAGCATGTTTCTGGCCCAGGTGTACAAAATAAATAAAATCATAAAAGCGTAATTACAAAACACGTTTTTAATTAAGAAAACGTTATTCCTATTAGCATTTTCATCTTTAGTGAAAGCATGTTTCCAAATCGCGCTTTCCATAGAAAGCGTGGTTAGAAACCATGCTTTTAAAGAAAATTGCTTTTAAAAGAAAACGTGATTTGTAACCACGCTTTTAAAAGCCATATAAAATGGCCCACCCCCTCATTTGTAACCACGCTTTTTATAAACACTTATGTTTTTTTTTCCCCGAACCAGTTCTCCCTCTACTCTCACTCTCTCTCTTCGTGGGTTCTCTGTTGTCTCTCTCTCTCTTCGTGGGTTCTTTGTTCTCTCTCTCTCTCTCTCTCTCTGTGGGTCGCTCTCTGCTCTCTGCTCTCTCTCGCTGGTATGTGGACTGTCTATCTGTCTGTCTCTCAGTTTGAATTTTATTTGTGTTGATTTTGTTTGTGAAAATGTGAATGTGGGTACATAACAATGTGGGGTTTTGTGAATTCAAATTGAGGAAGTTTAGAAGATAGAATAGTTTTGTGTATTCAAATTGTTTTGTGAATTCAAATTGATATCAATGTGGGTAGAATAGGGTTTGTGAATTGAAATTGTGGGTTTGAATTCACAGATTGAACCCTAGCCCTAGCCCTTGCCCTAACCCAATTCTAGGGTTTCAAATTGAACCCTAACCCTAACCCAAAGTTTGTGATGCAAAT